GCATACAGGGGATACCGGAGATACAGGAATCTAGAGCATACAGGGGATACCGGAGATACAGGGATCTAGAGCATACAAGGGGTACAAGAGATACAGGAATCTAGAGCATACAGGGGAAACCGGAGATACAGGAATCTAGAGCATACAAGGGATACCGGAGATACAGGAATCTAGAGCTTACATGGGATACCGGAGATACAGGAATCTAGAGTATACAGGGGATACCGGAGATACAGGAATCTATAGCTTGCAGGGGGTAAAAGAGATACAATAACCTAGAGCATATAGGGGGTACAGGAGATACAGGGGGTACAAGAGGTACAATAACCTAGAGCATATAGGGGGTACAAGAGATACAGGGGATACAGAAGATACAGAAGATACAGGGACCTAGAGCATACAGGGGATAAATTATGTTTTTAAATATTTTTTCCTTAAATACCTATTTTTGTATTTTTTGTTACATTTTAAAAATAATTACTTACTTACTTCATTACCAGAAATTCAGGGAGCTAGAATACAGAGCATTGGATACTGGAGATACAGGAGATACATGAAGACAGTATACATTCAACAGATATAAATAAACACAACAATACCCAGAAGAAATGTCGCAGATATTAGAAATATTCATTATCATTTACAAACTTAAATGGCCCTGTGCCGTTCATTGAACTTGTATCATTTTAATGTGTATAAAACAACTAGCCACTTGCAAAGAGTTTTTAACACATTAAAATTATTATTTCGTTTCCTTAAACCTTGAAATGTAACGAAAAAAACTTTTGAAAACATTAAATGCATAAAGGGTTCTGAGATTAATTAATCCAGATATTTGAAATTTTAATATTTAGCGAATTTTGTAATATTTTTTCAAGTAATCTCTCATTGAAGCAAGATCTAGAAAATTAGAACTGCATAAATATCTCATTTCAAAGCGAGTGTTTTCTTATTGTTTCCTTTAAAGAGTCTCGGAAAGGACTTACAATTTCACAAAGTTTATTAAAATCCAAGAATAAAATCTTGGACACCAAACCTTGAAGTACAGTGATACCCACACAAAACTAAACTCCTGAAAGTGAACTACTGCGGGCCACTAAGATTTTCATTTTCCTTTTTTATGTTTTTTTTTTTTAAATGAGAAGTCAACTTATTGTGGTTTGGACCAAATTTTGGATTATTAAACTCCAGAAAGCTATAATGTTTGTTATGACATCATATCACGCCATGTTTTTTTTTCTCGTTTTTTTCCTAAGGTTTTGTTTTGTCTGACCTAATTCCCATGGTGATACTATAAACAAATACGGGTCAACGGTTTAACTACTTTAAATATTCACATGTGTGTTAGGAGCGGGAGGGGTGGCTGCTCACAGGGTTTTGGAGTGCTCCCAGGATTTTGAAGTTGCTCCCAGGATTTTGAAGTTGCTCCCAGGATTTTGGAGTAAAATGTGAAAATTTATCCGACCTTTTATGAAAAGTCCTTTAAAAAGGGAACTTTAAAAAGGGAACTTTAAAATCGAAAATTGAAAGAAGGGTCTGCTGCCCCTTTTTTACTGTCTTTGTTAAGATATTTGCAGAAAAAAATTGCAAATTTCAGTCCAAGTAGTCTGTGGCGATCATATAATGTTGATTAGCCAAAATGTATAATTAATAATGGGTAAAAAATAGGTTCTAAAGTTAAGACTCACTGAACTTTAAATCTCTTGTTTACTGATACTGGGTTAAAGATTCACGCCGACAAACTATGTAGAGCTAAACAGTAAACATGTAGACCAGATTTGTATTGGGATGAAAACGAAAGTATTTGTATCTATAAAATGTGCATTAATTTAATTCATTTGATATAATTTTTCAAGATAGTTTGATTTTCGAGATAGTTAACATTTGAAATCATTTTATAAACCAGAAATAAATAGTAATAAATAAAGATATAAAATATCTGCAAAAATTATTTCTAAAATGAAATATTACAGTTCAGCTACATATATATCAATTTTATAAAGAATATTGTTTTGATTAGTTTTACATATTTTATGTTTTAGAAAGCTTCCTGAGACACCAATAATATCAAGATCTTCACATTTGCCAAGATACAAATCTTTGGAATTCAATCTTAACAACTTTCTACTTAAACTATTTACAGTGTGTCACGCTGGTTGTGTACAAGATGCAGCATGCAGGTTCTAGGTTCATCGCTACTGGATGCAGCATGCAGGTTTTAGGGATATTGGATGCAGCATGCAGGTTTTAGGGATATTGGATGCAGCATTCAGGTTTTAGGGATATTGGATGCAGCATGAAGGTTCTAGGGATATTGGATGCAGCATTCAGGTTTTAGGGATATTGGAGGCAGCATGCAGGTTTTAGGGATATTGGATGCAGCATGCAGGTTTTAGGGATATTGGATGCAGCATGCAGGTTTTAGGGATATTAGATGCAGCATGCAGGTTTTAGGGACATTGGATGCAGCATGCAGGTTTTAGGGACATTGGATGCAGCATGAAGGTTCTAGGGATATTGGATGCAGCATTAAGGTTTTAGGGATATTGGATGCAGCATGCAGGTTTTAGGGATATTGGATGCAGCATGCAGGTTCTAGGGATATTGGATGCAGCATACAGTTTTTAGGGATATTGGAATCAGCATGCAAGTTGATAGATTCTAGATGAAGCATGATTCATGAAGGTTGCAGGTTCATAGATTCAAGATGCAGCATGAAGGTTTACAGATTCAAAATACAACATGCAGGTTGCAGGTTAATGGATACTGTATGCAGCAAACTGCATGCAGGTTCATGGATACTGTATGCAGCAAACTGCATGCAGGTTCATGGATACTGTATGCAGCAAACTGCATGCAGGTTAATGGATACTGTATGCAGCAAACTGCATGCAGATTCAGTTAAATGGATGCAGAGTGCAGATTATTTATGAAAGAGACTGCATGCAGGTTTTTGGACACTGGATCAGGAAAGGAAAAGAATTGAGTCGTTGCCACAAACTCTGATTTTCTAATCACTATATCTTTGGAACCAAATGTTACCGACCTTAGATATTTCAAACTATGAATTCTGTTAGATCTAATTATCTGAGTTTGAAATATCAAAGGTTTACAACATCGAGTTCTAAAGATATTGAGGGAATGAAAATCAAAAAAGTATTCAACATTGCAATATGTTTTCTTGTAAAAAATATATTCTTATCTTGTTTAATGTCATGTATTAAAACTCCCCCCTTGAACCTCGTAGTATGTATTATCTCATTTTTAAATTTTCTATAATTTTGATTACGGCAGAAACGCCTCAGTAAACAGACATGAAATATTTTACAGCTTGATGATAACAATTATATATAAATAATTTTTAATTATGAATAACATTTATGTGAATTATCAAACTACTGCTGATTCCAGTTCTTGAAAAGTGTTTTATTTTTTCTCCTTCTCTGATCCATTTCACGCATACTCCTAATATATACTTCTCTTCTGATCCTTCTATTTCTCCTGATTCATCTTTCTCTTCTGATCCTTCTTTCTCTACAGATACACGTCTCGTTCATGATGAAAACTTCGTCCCCAGTACATTTCTTGCCCTTGATCCATCCTTCTTTCCTGATCCATTCTTCTCTCATGATCCTTCCTTCTCTCCTGATCCATCCTTCTCTCCTGATCCATCCTTCTCTCATGATCCATCCTTCTCTCATGATCCATCCTACTCTCCTGATCTAATCTTCTCTCCTGATCCATCCTTCTCTTCTGATCAATCCTTCTTTTCTGATCCATCCTTCCCTCTTGATCTTTCCTTCTCTCCTGAAACATCCTTATCTCGTGATGCATCCTTCTCTTCTGATCTATCCTTCCCTCCTGATCTTTCCATCTCTCCTAAATCATCCATCTCTCCTGATGCATCCTTTTCTCCTGATCCATCCTTTTCTCCTGATCCATCCTGGTATCCATATCCATCCTTCTCTCCTGATCCATCCTTCTCTCCTGATCCATCCTTCTCTCCTGATCCATACTTCTCTCCTAGTTAAACCTTTTCTCCTGATCCCTCCTTCCCCATGATCCATCCTTTTCTCCTTATCCATCTTTCTCTTCTTATCCATCCTTCCTTCTCTCCTGATCCGTCTTTCTCTCCTTATCCATCCTTCTCTCATGATCTATTCTTCTCTCCTGATCCATTTTTCTCTCTATTGATCCATCCTTCCTTCCAGATCCATCCCTTTCTCCTTATCCTCCCTTCTCTCCTGATACATTCTCTCCTGATCCTTCCTTCTATCCTGGTCTATTCTTCTTTACTGATTCATTCTTTTCTCCTAATCCTTCCTTCTCTCCTGATCCATCCTTCTCTCCTGATACATCCTTCTTTCCTGATCAATCCTTCTTTCCTGATCAATCCTTCTTTCCTGATCAATCCTTCTTTCCTGATCCATCCTTCTCTCATGATCAATCCGTCTCTTCGTCCATCCATCTTTCTGATCCAGGCTTTCTCTCTTGGTTCATCCAGATAAACTTTCTATTTATAAACAATTAAATATACAGTTTAATCGGTTGATTCCAAGTTTTTAAGGAAGCAAAATACAAAATTTTTTTTCAGGACCGAAATGATTTTGTAAATATGATTGCATATTGTATCGTTTTATTGTAATTTAAGTTCAAAATTAGTTTCAAATTAGACATGTTGAGATTTCAACATACATTTCTTTATAATTTGTATCAAAGCTGTTAATATATTTAGACTAAACTAAACAATGACTTACGCAGAATCTGCGTAATTTCATAAACCAACTAGGTCACCGAAAGCTGACCACGAAACCCACCATTCATTTGCGTATCCTGTAGTTTCTATGGTTTGCGGATTGGTTCTATGGTTTGCGGGAAACCCAAAATATTGCAAGGTCGGGTTTTGAAGTTGAGCACCTGGTTTAATGTATGAGCTCTGCAGGTGGGGGAGGGGGGCGTAACCCGACCTAACCAATCACAACTCTCTTCTCTCTCTCCCGTCTTTCCCCCACACATCTAACCGCAAAACGCAGTATACGAGAGTAATCTCTTTCTCGTGGATTTTTCTCCTAAATCCGAACCTAGAGTTAACAGAGCTCCGGAGCCTCCAATTCCCAGGGATTTAAGCATAAAAGCAGAGAAGAGACATGGTTTAAAATCATGTAATTTCAACTGTATTAGCTCATAAAGATCGGGTAGGATATAGCGGGCTGTGGTAGGGCGTTGGATCGGTCAATGAATAGTTTGAGGACGTGACCCGTCCCGTCCTTCTCTTCCAGCCGCTGCGGTCCAGTTTCGTGATGTAGAGTGGCCAACTTGGCTTCCCACTCTTCCTGGGCAATGTGAGTGCGGGTAGCCGCCACCGTACCGTACCGTCAGGAAATACTAGGGCTGTGGCCACGGCTCCCCGCACCGCCCATAATGGTGGCCGGGGCGGGGGCAGAGCGTCACCACAACCTTACCACCGTGGCCGAGTGCGGCCTGCCGCCCAGCACCAACATCAGTGCTCACCTTCTCACCACAGAGTGATAGTCATGGTCAGGAATATCGAGCTGTGAAATATATACTACTAGGCCCCCCTAGACTAGGCCTACATTCACGACCCTTAGTTTACTATTGTCAAAAACTTGTGGTTTCTCTGAAACCATCCCAACCAGAAATATAGACCCGGAGCTGAAACCAAACCTGATCTTGAAACTTGTACTCAGGTTGTACCAGGATGCTGCACAGTGCAGCCCAACCCTCCTTTAACATGTTCCCCTTCGGACACACCTCCCAACATTCCAACCCCGCCCACATCCCTCAACACGGGGATATGTTCCATAATCCCCATCATCATCATCATCATCAACATCATCCCAACCCTCCACAACAAACCGAGGCTCCTCCTAAACCTAGATTTCTCTTCAAAATGCCGCGTGTAGTTCCAAATCAAAAAGAAAAATTTGATTCCGATGAATTTCTAAAAAGACATTCAAGGGAAGGCGAGGTAAATAGTTCAACGTAGTTTTATCATATTTTCTCTTATCAACATTTCGTAATCATGTCAATTCTAAACCGCAAAACAAAAGAAAAATAACAATTACAAATTACGATGTAAACTGTCAAAAAAAAATGTGGATTGATTAGCGCTGAAAATTGTGGAAAGGGTTGGGTGGCGGCAAAATGGTTTGTTAATAATAGGAACTGGTTTTGCTTCTGGTTAGGTTGGTTGGACCAAAGTGTTAATCCTGGGTTTGGTTCTTGGTTTTTAGGTTGTGTGGGGGAGGGGGGGGGGAAGTTTATAAATTGTAGGTTATTGGTTAAACTAACTTCTAATTTCATTAGTTAAAACAATGCAGGGTGTGGGAGGGGGGAACAGTATTAATAATTATAATTAAGTTTCTATTGATTAGTTGATTGATAATTAAAGATGTTTAACTGTTGAGTACGTTGATGAAGATTTAACTGTATCCTGGGAATACCCTGGCATAAGAAATCTATTCAAATCCTTCCAACTTCCATCCTTATCTTAATCTGATATACAGAGATACAAACTCAATCTTACGAGTCTTACAGTTAATATAAATATAGTTTATTTCTTCAAAGAATTTGAGTCTTTGCCACAAACTTAAATTTTCTAATCTCTTTATCTTATCAACCTGATGGTGTAAACCTTTAATATTTTAACTTGATTCTTTGATCTAACAGAATTCATAGTATGAAATATCTAAGGTTTACGAAATTGGGTTGCAAAGATATTGGAATTAGAAAATGTAAGTTTGTGGCAAAGACTGAATTCTTCAGTAAACATAGTAGAACTATTTATGGCACCCTGAAATATTTGATTTCAGTTGTGATATAATGCGAGTCAAATGATTTAAACTAAAACCTTGTATGAAAATTTCTTTATATAGAAGAAAATAATCAGATTTCAGCAAATCGGTTTTAATAGTTATCTACAGATTCTAAATGATCAAACTACAAAAGACTAGAGACTAGAGCGGGGTAGAGACTAGAGCAGGCCGGGTTGATACTAAGACTAGAGCGGGGTTGAGACTAGAGCAGGGTTGACACTAGAGACTAGAGCAGGTTTCAGACTACTAGCTAGAGCAGTGTTGAGACTATAGCTAGGATAGAGCAGGGTTCATTCTGGAAAATATAGAGCACCGTTGAGACTAGTGACTAGAGCAATGTTGAGACAATTGAGACTAGAACAGGGTTGAGACGATATAAAAGAGCATGGTTGAACAGGGCATAGTTGATCCTAGAGACTAGAGACTAGAGGAGGGTTGATCCTAGAGACTAGTAGAGACTAGAGCAAGGTTGAGACTAAAGATTATAGAGCAGGGTTGAGACTATATAATAGATCATGGTTGAGACTAGAGACTATAGCAGGGTTGATCCTAGAGACTAGTAGAGACTAGAGCAAGGTTGAGACTAAAGATTATAGAGCAGGGTTGAGACTATATAATAGACCATGGTTGATCCTAGAGACTATAGCAGGGTTGATCCTAGAGACTAGAGCAAGGTTGAGACTAAAGATTATAGAGCAGGGTTAAGACCATATAATAGGCCATGGTTGAGACTAGAGACTACAGCAGGGTTGAGAATATATAAAACAGCATGGTTGGGACTAGAGAACAGAACAGGGTAGATCCTAGAGACTAGAGCAGGGTTGATCCTAGAGACTAGAGACTAGAGCAAGGTTGAGACTAAAGATTATAGAGCAGGGTTGAGACTATATAATAGACCATGGTTGAGACTAGAGACTAGTAGAGACTAGAGCAAGATTGAGACTAAAGATTATAGAGCAGGGTTGAGACTATATAATAGACCACGGTTAAGACTAGAGTCTATAGCATGGTGGAGACTATATAATAGACCATGGTTGAGACTAGAGACTAGAGCAGGGTTGATATTAGAGACTAGAGACTATAGCAGGGTGGATCCTAGAGACTAGTAGAAACTAGAGCAAGATTGAGACGAAAGATTATAGAGCAGGGTTAAGACTATATGATAGACCATGGTTGAGACTAGAGACTAGAGCAGGGTTGATCCTAAAGACTAGTAGAGACTAAAGCAAGATTGAGACGAAAGATTATAGAGCAGGGTTAAGACTATATAATAGAACATGGTTGATCCTAGAGACTAGTAGAGACTATAGCAGGGTTGAGACTATATAATAGACCATGGTTAAGACTAGAAACTAGAGCAGGGTGGAGAGCAGGACCTTGAGATCACTGTTATGAGAACTTTGTGTGTAATGTTACAGCGAGAACGAATAAATCTTTATTCTTCTCCAGGGGACGTCTCCCCCCTTTCCTCACCCCTTCAGAGGACGATTCATCCCCCTTTCCTCACCCCTTCAGAGGACGATTCATCCCCCTTTCCTCACCCCTTCAGAGGACGATTCATCCCCCTTTCCTCACCCCTTCAGAGGACGATTCATCCCCCTTTCCTCACCCCTTCAGAGGACGATTAATCCCCCCTTTCCTCACCCCTTCAGAGGACGATTCATCCCCCCTTCTTTTCCTATCTTTTTCTATCTTATTCTATCTTTTTCTATCTTTTTCTATATTTTTTCTATCTTTTCCTTTATTTTTTCTATCTTTTCCTATCTTTTTCTATCTTTTTCATCTTTTTCTATCTTTTTCATCTTTTTCTATCTTTTTCTATTGATTATATTTAGTGTTTTAGTTTTGTTTTCATCTTGGAACTTCTTTATCTTGATTCTTGAGTTGCCTATTTATTTCACACACCCCGAACCCCCTTTTTTAATATTTTTTGTCTCCCCCCCCCCCTCCCACACTATTTGTCTTTTTCTGACTTCCCTCATGACTTTGTTAGCAAAGCCGAGTATTCCAGCAGTCAGGGTAGGTTTGCCTGTTCCCCCCTCCAGGGGTTCTTTCAGGGACCTTCAGGGGAACCTTTGAGGACATTATTAGGGATCGGTCTTTAAACCTTACAGTGAATACATAATGACCCAGGAGAGCCGGGGGGTGGGGGGTAGGTCATTCGAGACCCGTGACATATTTTGACAGCCTGTTAAGGTTTAAATTTAAACACACATACAGAGCAAATTGAGGGGAAACCTTCAAATTGGTTCTCTTACTGCAGACTACATTCATTCATCTATCCATCCATCCTGATATATTTTATCATGTTATTTCTCAAGATCTCATCCATGTTTTCATCCATCCTACCACTGCACCCCTGGGTTTCATACTTCATAATTTTTCAGACGATCCAATCCTTTTCTTGTATTTGAAAATTCTTTCCGGGATTCTAGGTTCCCCTAAACTCCCGGTATTAGGACAATTCTTCAAATCTGCCAAATCAATTCACAATTAGAGTCAAATTTGCCAAATCTTTCGGAGAAATATTCACGGAAATTTTATTATTAAATTCCCGCCGGGGATTTTGAATCGGTTGTATGAATCTAAACCCAACTGAGATGATTTCTATATATTTAAAATTTTATGTTTAAAGGAATTCGGATGAATAGAAGTTTGAGGAATAAATACATTTCACTTGGTTGGCTTTATTTCGGCTTAGAACTTGTTGACTCTAAGCCCTGCCCGTCAATAAACTGTCAGAAATTCAGGCATTCAACACAAATCATATTTCAAGGCAGTGCTGTCAGGCCTTTTGATTGATGTATCAAAAAAACCTAGATCCTAAACACTTCAACAGTTTTTTTTTAAGAAAACGAAATTTTTTCTTAGTTTGCACTTTTAGAGGTTGCGTGAGTTCTGACAAATAATGTTTTCAGGTTCGATACACAGGATACAGGGATAGACCGATTCACGAGAGACAAACCAAATTTTTAAATGCATGCAGAGATGGGTCCACAGAAATAGTAAGAATACCATTTTTTTGAAATTTTAAATATTGAAAATGTTTCCGACAATTAACATATTTTTTTGCTGAAATTTCGATTTTTTTCTTGAAAGTTCATTTATGTGTTCAATCGAATTTTTTTTTTAAATTGGAAAAAAAAATTTATAAGTATTTTTTTTAGGCGTTTATAGGAACTGGTTTTAACCTGATGATGTCATTTGATGTTGTGAGCAGTACATCTTATACACATACACTCAAACAATGTGATTTCGAGAGAGAGCAGGGAAAGGTACGGATACATAATGTACATAATGTACATAATGTACATAATGTACATAATGTACATAATGTACATAACCAAGGATATTATAAAAAAGGTAGTAATCAAAACTACTATACTTTTTATGTCTTCCTTGGTAATTAATTTCTTTTAAGGGTTTAATACTTGCCTAAAATTATACTTTTTTAATTCTTGAATCGTTATAACCTGATGGTGTGAACCTTACATTAATGTTTTAAACTTTAAACATTGTGAAAGAAACATCTTCGAAAACATGTTACAAAAATGTAATTATTAGAAAATTTAAGTTTGAGGGGAGAATCCAGTTCCTTTATGTTAGTAAAAGTTGTTCTTAATTGACTGTAGGAAAGTATGTGGGTCTATAGAATGCAATAACTATAAATAAAGTAAATAAAGTGCCAAGTGTGGTTTTGGTTAATACTGTCCCCTGCAGTTATGTATGCACTTTGATTTGATTTTCATTCTTTTCTTATTGGTCGTTGAATATGTACACTGTACAATGTACAGATTTTGGGGATTTTTTTGGTCGCAAGAAGAATTTCTTCGTAAACATTTCTTGGAACTTTTTTTAATCCGTTAAGAAACCAACATTTTAAATAAAATTGTTTTGTCTGGTTGAAACAGTTCGAGGATTTACGATGCATCTGTACATGAGGAGTAGAGAGTATAGAGCGCAGATGACGATCAATTTTGAATGCTTTTTACCAAATAATCAATCTATTAATTTATTCTCAGCCATGAAGAATTTAAAGCTCCCCTCCCTCCATACAATTTCACGTAGTGAGTGGTGATTTGCGTTTAACAAGTTTCAAATTTGTTATCATGGGCTATACAGTATACAACTCTATTAGGGATTCTTGGTCTAATTGGGGTACGACCCTGAGCAAGGTACGGGAAAAGGTTTAAGAGGATATTGTTTCAATATCCTACCTAATACATTTTCAAGTTTCAACTCTATACATATCTATATATATAAAGTTGTAATCTCTATTTGTCTGTTTGTTTGTTTGTTTGTTTGTTTTTCCGATCAGAACTTAGGAACCCATGGACCGATTTGCCTAAAATTTTGATGGGACACTTGGGAGGACCACGGGAATGTTCTTAGCTTAGATTCTATCATTCTAAGTTGACCAGATCGACTTTTATCGGGAAAAATAGTTAAAATTGACGACAAAGCGCGGGTAATTAGCGGGACTAACTTTGACCCCCCGTGCAACGGTGGGTTCCCAAGCTAGTATCTATATATAGTATATACATACATGCATAATGCATTCTGTCCCGTAATTTTTCTCTAGATTAAAAATTGAATGATTAGGAGGGAATAGTTGAAATTTAGTCCATTAAAGTTTTCTAAATTATATTTTTTTAATTCACTTTAACTAATAATTATTATCGTTTTATTTCACTTTTTGCTTCGAAAACTGGTAATATTTATAGATGTCTACATTTAAAGAAGTTTTATAAAAATTTCGATTTCCTGATCCAATTTATATAAATGGCTTTCACATTTTGTTAAGTGGAAGAGAATTAAGACGATTTTTAAAACCTGAAATTTTGTTTGACTCATCTTTTCTGAAATTAAAGATATTTTTTTCAACCCCTCCCTCCTCCTCCCCCTCTTCCTTTCCCCCTCCTCCACCCCCTTCCCCCCACTTCATTTTCTAGTTTACAGCTAAACTAGAATTGTTTTATTAAAACCTTGAAATCGACCAAAACTGTAAAGTTTTTGTGCGAATCTTCAGTTGACTGAATTTGCAGTGGTTTCTGCGAATTATTTATATTGCATACTTTACAACTAAATTAACTTAATCTTCACCAAGTTATATTTGCACAATGGAATTCTTCTTCACGATGCATTCTATACTAAATACTTGCTTTGTATATTTTAATCCCATGATCACAAAAGACACAGTGGGAATCGATGATAACCAAATTATTTTTAAAACAAAAAATATCTTATTTTAAAACTATTCCAAGAAATATTTGAAAAACTTTTTATTTTAGAAAAAAGAGGAGCTCATTTCAGATTTTCCGATTTGTTTGTCAGTTTTGTTTCCGTCTTTGTCATTTTATGACGCGAAATATCCCTTAAAAAATAGAAGATGAAAACAGGCGAATTTTGGCATTTGGACATTTTCAAATTCAAAAATTCAAAAAAGCTCAATTTAGAAACACGCTTTTTAAAGCTTTGAAATTATCACATATCTGGTTACAAAAAAGTTTAAGTAGGATGGTAAGGTCAAACCAAGGATAAACACGCGGTCTCAAAAGTTGACGAATAATTCTTAACACTGTGTAGATAGATGTGATTGCAAATGTCTAATTGTCTGTCTGTCTGTCTGTGAGCAAATAAATCAGCCAAATCCCGTAAATCTTCTAAAACCACCAAGTACACTCCAAATATTATAGTTATTAAACAAAATATTAATTTACTAAATTATCATTATTGTATTTAAGCAATATGATTATCATTTGAGAACTACTCAATCATTTTAGGACAATAAATTACAATCGAAAATTAATTTCCATATTTTTACAAAGTTGATCCTGGGTATATGGCATAAAGTGCAACGTATATCAAAGTTAAGTTTGTATAAGTAGTATGCAGGGCTAATTATTTAGTGATTAAGGATGAGGGGGAGTATATTAATATATGGAAGTATATCCAGTACCCTACCTCTCCTGACACTAATCCTCGTCCTAAACTGCCAATTTTATCCTAGATGATATTTCATGTCAAAGATTTGGCTCTACCTTCGTCCTTACTCCGGGTGTACTTCTAATACAGAACATACTAAAGATCCTCTCTCTCTGTCCTTACTCCGGGTGTACTTCTAATACAGAACATTCTACAGATTCTCTCTGTCCTTACTCTGGGTGTACTTCTAATACAGAACATACTACATATCCTCTCTGTCCTTACTCTGGGTATACTTCTAATACATGATAAACTGAAGATATTCTCCGTTCTTACTCCGGGTATACTTCTAATACAGGATAAACTGAAGATATTCTCCGTACTTACTCCGGGAACACTTCTGATACATGATATATAATATAGATATTCTCCGTCCTTACTCCGGGTATACTTCTAATACAGGATAAACTGAAGATATTCTCCGTCTTTACTCCGGGTATACTTCTAATACAGGACAAACTGAAGATATTCTCCGTCTATTCTCCAAGTACACTTCTGATACATGATACAATATAGATATTCTACGTCATTTCTCCGGGTACTATTCTTATCCCGGACAAACTGACGATCTTCTCCGTCCTTACTCCGGGTTTATTTGAGATAGATTATAAGCTACAGAGTATCTTACTCCGGGTATACTTAACCTGCAGGATAAAGCATAGATATACCTGTCTTTACTCTGGATATAGTTGTGCAGCAAGATAAAGTTTCATAAATTAACACTTTGTGCATTTCATATCATATTTTCCTGACATTGATTTGACAAGTTGCTGTTTTAGATAATTATCAAGTTTTATGTAAACGGTTTCTCCGGGATCAATAAAAGTCAGATGTTGTCTCCTACTGATCCTTGTACCCGGAGCACAATATAGATAATCTATATTTCTTTATTAATTGATATTTTGCACAGAAAACAGCTCAATTAGCTTTTTTTGTTACAGCAACGAGATAAAAATCGATAAATAGATATGGCTAGNGAGGGGGGTGTGTTTTTATGTTTGTTTTGACAATATGATGACAAATTGGTTTTTCCAGTTGTTTGTGTTTTTACTTGTAAACATTTTCATACATTATTAGTTTACTTGTAGACTAGATATATATTGTTAAAATCTACCAAATTTACTATTTTTTAAGATATATCGGTAAATTCTTTCCTTGACAATTGTTAGTATTACAATTATTATTTTTACTATTATCCATTTTATTATTTCTGATTTATTTTAGGTACACCTGCGCGCTCCTTTCATCTTAAATGGTGTTTGTGTCCGATGGCGAGGTTGGATAGATATTGAACGCCTTGATGGAGTTGGTTGTCTAGAATTTGATGAAGATTCTGCTACCTTAGAGGACGCTAAACTTAGAGAACAGGTTGGTCATCATATAATCAATCAGCTGATTAGTTTATCGGTCAACATTTTCAGCTGATTAGTTTATCGGTCAGCAAATAGTTAGCTGATTAGTTTATCAGTCAGCATATAGTCAGCTGATAAGTTTATCGGTCAGCATATAGTTAGCTGATTAGTTTATCAGCCAGCATATAGTCAGCTGATTAGTTTATCGGTCAGCATATAGTTAGCTGATCAGTATATTGGTATATTATCAGTAAAAAAACTAGCCAATGAATGAATTTAATGAATTTAAGTCACGTCTCAAATCTCCCAAAACCGGTTTCAATTGACCGCCGGCTTAAATCTTGAAGAATTTTATTCAAATTTAAGTAGAACCAACCGTATTAGAGCAAATTTAAACCGCGGCTCAAAACTTTTAAATTCGCCCTCAGATTAGCTAAATCTTCAAGCTTTGCGTATTTCAACTGATCTTTTTAAACATAATATCTTGTATTGGCGCTCTTTTAAAACTAAAAATTTTATTCTTTCCTATAAATAATTTTAAATATTGTTCAGGTTGAATTCCATAGTGTATAATAATTTTAAATATTGTTCAGGTTGAATCCTATAGTATATAATAATTTAAAATGTTGTTCAGGTTGAATCCTATAGTATATAATAATTTAAAATGTTGTTCAGGTTGAATTCTATAGTATATAATAATTTTAAATATTGTTCAGGTTCAATCCTATAGTATATAATAATTTAAAATATTGTTCAGGTTGAATCCTATACTATATAATAATTTAAAATATTGTTCAGGTTGAATCCTATACTATATAATAATTGAAAATATTGTTCAGGTTGAATCCTATAAATAATTTTAAATATTGTTCAGGTTGAATCCTATAACAGACGATTACGAGAGTTTGAAGAACAAAGCAAAGCAAGGTAATTAGATATTTTTTCATTCTTCGGGATATTTGAAGAAAAAATTGTATTCGGAAAGAAAAGAATAAACAATTGATTTTTAAATTTTAATTGTTTAGATCTCGACATTTAGCTGGTCTTGTGTCTTCATCTCATTCTCAGTTCTCCTCCCACCATCATATACAGTCAGATCTACTCCTAGAGGTATAGAAATATACACACACATACACATCCATACGGTCACAAACCACATATTTACTATAATTACCCCCCTGTCGGAAGGGTTGAAAAGAAGAAAATTTACCACAATCCAAATTCATTGAATTGCCAATTTTACTCCGTGGTTTAAACTGGTAGAAGAGTCAGTAAAGCATAGACCCGGAGATATTCCTAAACCCTGCTCTGTGGTCAGTTTTATAGATTCACAAGGTTTCCCTCGTGTTAACAACTCGTACTGCATATGTTTAGAAACTTTTACATAATATCTCTGCAATTATATTCTAACTAGTAACATTTTGTTTTATAATATGGCGTTAATTAAAAATGCGACTTTATCCTGTGTAATGTTATGTTTGGCTTGTAAGATTGTATGTGCTTATGTTTACATTGTTTAAACTAGAGCACACGACAAGATAACAACATGTCAAATTAAATCAATTAAATACCTAACTACACCAGTTTGCTTAAATAGGAGTAATCAAATAACAAAAATGAAAAAATAATTAATTAAAAATTAGTTTCTAAACAGGAAAAATTTATGTCCACATATTCCTGCATCCCCCCCCCCAAAAAAAAAACGCACACACATCTCTTCGAATTTTAAAAAGTTGCCCCTGACTTCAATATTTGCTTGAATTAGTATCTAGAACACACTTCATTAATTAAACTAACATTGGAATACTTCTATATATATATATATATATATATATATACTGGGCTTAAGCTGTTCATTTTCTTTAAATCCAGTTCCAAAATTCAGAAACACCAAACCAAAATCCATATTTTTTCTTTTACAGAATCTGAAAACTAGTTAAAAACTCTAGTATTCTAATCTCTATATCTCCGAAACCTTACTGTCTAAACATTTGATATGCCAATCTTTGACTAGTTAATCAAGCAGAAATATCAGAGGTCTATACGACATAAGGTTGCAAATATATAAGGATTAGAAAATTATAGTTTGAGAAGAGTAATCAGTTCCTTCCAAGGTTGTTTTCTCTTTTGTAAATCATATTTGAAGAGAATTGTACAAAAAGATAAATGTCTATCAAATTAAAATTTTTAGTTTCTAAAAATGTTTTGTAAAAGACTAAAGATTGACAGGGGAGGTGTGATTATAGATAAGAACTGTTTTATTTTACATTGTTTGCTTTCTAAGCACACTTTTAGAACAGTAACTAATCTTTTTTTTGGCTAATTTTTTTAAATTTAAACATTTTCCCGAATATTTCGAAGCCAACGACCATAATGGGTAAAGATAGTATCTTGTTTTGTGAATAATCCCCCATAATAAACCCATAAACCCACTTGCCCAAGATAATGTAGCATACGGCCATATTTATATATTTTACAGGGTGTTCTAACAATCAAAGAAAACAGAGGGTGCCCAATCCTAAATCCTGGCTAAAAAGAACAATGTTTTTATAAACACAGAATTAAATAAAATGGGTAAAAAAGCCGTTTGAATGGAAATTCACATTGCACTTTAATCTCTTAAAAAAAGAGAAATTTATAATAAATTTCCTCCCATTTACTTTCTTGAAATAAAAGAGAAAAGGTAAAAAATAAAACGTAATATGACTTTCCTCGGCTATACTTCCTTGAATAGATAGTATGAGAAATGACATTCCTCTTTTTTCTTCCTTGGACGAAGAGAATGTTAAATGTCTCTGTTAGAGAGAGTTTAGGTTTGGTTTCAAGTCACACTAGAGTTGAGAACCATAAACTCATAAATCTATCTATCTATCTATCTATCCTTCTATCTATCTATCCTTCTATCTATATATCTATCTATCCTTCTATCTATCTATCTATCCATCGTTTTTCTATCCGTTTTATTTTCTATTTGTCTGTTTATCTATCTATTTTTCTCTATCTATCTATCTTAGATTCTCTTTCTAGTTCTTTATGCAAATTATTCTTATGGTTGAAACAAACAAACAAACAAATTATCAGACAAACATAAAATCTTCTAAATTTAAAATTCCAAACGCAGAAAACGAGTCTCTTGTATGTACCCATCTATTCTGTGTTTTCACTATGTGTATTCTATCTGGTGTTCTATCCACCCTTCTTTCTCGTTTAGATTGTTTTTCCTGATTTTCGGTGGAAAAAAATTGGCTTCGTCAGCGTATTACATGGTTCCAACCAGTTTTATCACCATCCCTCCCTTCAACCATATTTTATCTAAACATTTCTCTGATCCAACCATATTCTATCTAAACATTTCTCTGATCCAACCATATTTTATCTAAACATTTCTCTGCTCCAACCATATGCTATCTAAACATTTCTCTGATCCAACCATATTCTATCTAAACATTTCTCTGCTCCAACCATATGCTATCTAAACATTTCTCTGATCCAACCATATTCTATCTAAACATTTCTCTGCTCCAACCATATTTTATTTGAACATTTCTCTGATCCAACCATATTTTATCTAAACATTTCTCTGATCCAACCATATTCTATCTAAACATTTCTCTGATCCAACCATTTTTTATCTAAACATTTCTCTTATCCAACCATATTCTATCTAAACATTTCTCCGATCCAACCATACTTTATCTAAACTATGTCTATTTAACTATCTATTCAGATATATACATTTATCTATCCATCTATCTATCCCAGTGTTGGCTGTATGAGCTGGATTTGTATAAAACCCAGAACTCTTGTTGTTTTAGTTTAAAGATTTATTCATTTGCATCAATTTCACATTTATCTTGACTTCTTAACAGTGTATACAACACAGTAAAGAATATAATTTAAACTGTAGAGGGGGGAAATAGTCGAAGAATACAGAAATATCATTAAATTCAGTTTTCTCAATAAAAGATTTTAAAATTAAACAAGAACAAAATCTATCAAAATTTTGGATATTCTAAGAAATTTTATACTCATTTTTTTCTAAATTTTTCATTCTCATTTTAAACCTAGGTTTGGGTTGTATAGAAGGATGAAGGGTGGGAGGTAGTACAAGGAGAAAACTAAATATTCTTGAAGGATTCTGTCCTGAACACGTTGATATTTTAATCAATTTTACTCCAGATCAGGAATCCGTCCTACTCAGGGTACCCCATAAAATATATACAACATCAAATTATTTTTTCTCTAGATCCTATAAATACACAAGAGCTATATGAGGTTTAAGATTCAATCTTGCTCCGGGTGTCCGGAACATATACTCAGGTTTATTATATTTCTCCGGTATCTTGATAGTACCCTGATATATATATATCCGTCCTTCCTTCCTACAGCTTATTAAATCTAACTCGAATTATGTTCCAATAAAATGGAATTTAAAGGATGAGTTTACTATAATAGGATGGGGAGGGGTTTTTATGGTTTTCCAGGATGGGTTTAAGGATAAGGAAGGGAGAGTATGGTTGGTTGGAAGGGATCTGATGGGGGGGGATGCAAATCCTTGCAATAAAATACAGACATAAAACCGGCCAGATATGGTTCTCTAGCTATCCAACCAATAGGGTGAGTAGGATCATATCTATATCATATGGTTCTACTGGTTCTAACCAGGGGAATATAGTATACGCTAGATGGGAAGGGGGGGGGGACGTGCTTTGGGTTTACATATGATTACACTTTACGCTTATACCATGATATAACAAACAAAAGTAACAATTTTTTAATAATATTTTTTTTTTCCAGGCTCGTAAAAAGCAGCTTGAACTTGCTGCCTCTCATCAAACAATGTGATCCTCCCTTCCCGGAGCAATCCCTACTCATCCTCAACATAGAGAGACCCTTGATGTACCTGGAGAAGCTGGTGAAACCAACTCTGTAGGACGGGATGGGATCAGCTCCGGAGTTCAGTTCAAATCTCGTAACCTTCCAAAACTGCAACCCAAACCTGGACTTTACCAAAGATAGTGTTCTCCATTCCTCTTACCTCCATTTGATCAGTTTTATTCCCAATTCTCCGTTTGTTAATCCTCCGAACCCTTAAACCTTCTCCGGTTAAGCAAAAAAACTCGATTAAACTAGTCTCCGCTACTCCAAGTTATATTGTGAGAAGTTTAGTGTTCACCGTCCTTGTTTCTAGGCGTTCCTCCTCCTCGTCGCCTTCTTTTATATCCCTTCCCCCTACTCCTAGTCAAACAAACAAGGATAGGATAGGTTCAAGGCGGCACCTTTCTTCTGTATCTGGCAGTGGAGAGAAGGAGAACCGACACCCAACCCATCCTTCTCCATCAGTATATAGACCTACACGGAGAAAGTACTCTAATGTAGGGTTATCTATGCTTATTACAGCATGATGACAGATGTAGATGTTGTATGACTGTAGGAACGGGTTAAATAGTTAGTTCAGGTTGTTGATCCGTATTGATAAACTAAACTAACTCGGAGCAAAACATTGAAAATATCACAACTTGAGAGTATTCATTAATTATCAGAATTGAAAATCTTCCAAATTATCAAAAATGGAAAATTCTTTATTTCTGCAAGCACTGGATCAGGATATAAGATACCGGAGAAAAAAAGTATCAAAAGGCATGCTGCTTAATGCGGAAAGTGATATGCACATACTGCTTAAACCGGAGATGGGATCCGCGCATGCTACTTATACTGGGGAAAAGATGCATCCTACGGATGCCAGAGCACGGAAATTTCCTATAAATTCTGGAGCAAAGGTTATCTAAAAAGAGCTGAGAAAGATGAAATCCTGTTCTACAAACTTTGCTCCGGAGAAACCAAACCGTCATTCTAAACCTAGTCTTGAAACTCCCAGATTTTGCATGTATTAATGTGCCAAATCTTAAAAATTAATGAGCCAACATGTTTGTTAAAAAAAGAGCTTTATCAGGCTCCGGTTCTGGATTTTGGAGTCAGCTTAGTGGCTCCTAGCTCCACAATTGCATAGCTCCTTAACATAAACTATCAGAGCTCTTAGAAATACAGCTCTTATTTGTGATTTTATCCATGATGCATAGTGTAATATAATTATATTGTTATAGTAGATTCAAATATATGTTATTAGAATAAATTCATGCTTTAATTTTATATATTAATAATAGATAATAATAATAAATAACTACTCCAAAGCTAATTCGAGTGAAGGGGCGATGCTTTGGATCATTCTAGTTTTTTTGGATAAATTTTTTTTTTTAGAAATCCAACTGATCTTTTCAAAAAATATGAATAAACTGCTTAAATCCTATTTGGGTTGGTAGGGGATCAAAATCTCTTTGTTATGCAAAAAGTAAAAGAAATGTAATTTATCTCGTCAAATGGATTAAAAAATATGCCACCAAATCTGATTTTGTAATCCCAATATCTTTCCAACCCAATGTCGTGGATATTTCAAAATTATAAATTCTATTCGATCAAATAATCAAAGTTTGAAGTAATATATAGCGATTAGGAAATTTGCGTTTGAGGCAAAGACTCAGTTCCTCAGTTTCCGTCTGGAGGACCCATAAACTTTCTTAGTATTTTCATATTGCGTACAGAAACCTCGAAAAGCTTGAAATATCCACCATCCAGTACAAAGAATTAAGAATAAGAATTTGAGGCGAGTTGTTACTGTTAACTTTCTTTTTTTTTTGAACATAAAATCTATCAAAAATGATGCAGTTATCATACTTATTTTACGAAGTAGGCTCAAATGAAGGCAAAAGGGTAGTGGTGATTTTTTAAATAAGCTGTTGTCAAGAATTTATTAAATGTTATGAACTAAACTGAGAAATAACGTTACAAGAGAGACAAAGTTAAAAAGAAATAAAATAAAATTATGTTTTTAAACAAAACAAAAAAATGTTGGTGGAACAAGGAAAAAATAATGAAGACGACTTTTTTATTTGAGTTTTTTTCATTCATGCTGTTTAAAAATCAAAATTTAAATCGAAAGTCGTCTTCATTGTATTGATATAATCGCCTACCACCGTAGATAAAATTGAACAGATTTTATAATATTATCAAGTGGAAAACAAAATATTAATGCAAGTGCCATTAATGATGGTCCTGTAAACCAGGAATTTGAGAAATTCCGTCAGTTTTGGATTAAAAAATACAACCATTGACAAATTACAAACCATATAACCATACATAACCATATATAACCATATATAAAATTACAACCATATAAGCTGAGTATCTTTGTGAATTATTGTTGCATGAACGGAGGAAATTTACAGGGCAGAAACAGAGACAAAGATGAAAATTTCATGTTTTTTTTAAACGCTAGCAAATTTTTAAAAGAAGTTCTTACCACAAACTTAAATTTTCTAATTCCTATATCTTCACAACTTGACAAAGTAAACTTTTGATATTTCAAACTTAGACTATTAAATTTGATCCAACAGAATTCATAGTTTGAAATATTAAAGGTCTACAACAACGGGTTGCTTAGATATAAAGATTTAAAAACAAGATTTTGTTGCAAGAACTCAGTTCTTTCCAGCAAAATATTTAGTTTTCCACACACAAAAACCACTCCCATCCCCCCACTAAACACCTAATTGTGCATCTGTTTGTATTGTTTTAGCCTTATTTCCGTGTGTACTGTGTATCTAGAGTGCTGAATATTTTAACCCTTTCTAAGAACGTGAAATTTGCACTTGTCAGACTGCACAAGTATTTAAACAGTTCCCCCTCCTTCAAAACCCCAGATTNAAAATCAACTATTCACAGTAATTATAGAACTGCAAAAAGTGGAGCTTTTACCAGGCGCGGAATTACCTAATTCCGGCCTCAGCAAAATTGTCAAATTTGCGCACGTTGGTGCAAATTTTACGAGATCAGGGAGTCACGGGTATTCTGTAGAAATATATTTTTTACATTATTTAAGCATTGTAAATACTACCTTATCATAAAAGATAAATAACAATGTTTAAAAATATAAAATCTACGGAAACATTTCCCCCCCTGTCCCCGAATCAGGTTGCAAGCTGTGGCAAAGAACATTTTATTGTTTTATTAGACTTTGATAACAGTAGTTAACAAAATAATATTATTTTTGCAGAAACAAACTGGTGAGAAACCTACACGAGGCATAAAACATTTATAGACTTCATTAAATGGATAAAACTTCTAGTTTTAGTACTTTACAAATATTACAAATATTATACAAATGTACAATTTACAGGTGTGTAAAAAAATAAGGATTCAAAAATTTTTTGCTTGGTCAGTGAAAGGAAATGTTAAAGCAATTTTAGACGATCCTCCATCTAAAAATCAATGAAAAGTTTGTTTCTTTGAAGATACAGCACACACTAGAATTTACAGCTGAATACAAGCTGGTTTCGATAAGTTTACACACACATATCTCTGTACTCGCGCGACAAACAAACTTAACTTAAGGGTACCGGTGTGAATTGGCCATTGCCTTCTTTGCTTGGAGGGTTACTTGAAATTATACTTAGTCACTTTAAGTTTAATGTGAATAAAGACTGTACTGACATGACCCTGAAAGTGATTGAAGGAAAATGTATCAAAAATATCCATATTATTCACAGAAAGATCTAATTGAAATATAATTACTCCAAGTATAATTACCAGTAATTATCATGTCAATACTCAACCCTCTGCCGTTGTTTATTCAATGAATGATGATCTTCATACAAACTAAGAATAAACATAATTTTGGTTAAAATAATTATTCTTTTTGCTTTAGTCGGGGCGCTATCATAAACTGAACCTTTGACCCCCCAACCAGGATATTTATTCATTTCCTCTCTTCTTCCCTTCTTCCCCTCCTCTTCCCTTCTTCCCCTCTTCTTCCCTTCTCCATCTCCTCTTCCCTCTTATCCGTCCATTACCCCCTTCTCTCTCCTCTCTTTCCTTTTCTTCCTTAATATCTCCTTTTCTCCTCTTTTTTAATCCTTTCCCTTTCCAATTCCTTCCCATCTAATCCCCCGCTCCTCCCTTTCCAATTCCTTCCCATATAATCCCCCGCTCCTCTCTTTCCAATTCCTTCCCATCTAATCCCCCGCTCCTCTCTTTCCTGCCTCCAACTACAAGCTACAGGGTTGTACAAAATGTTTTTATTGGCAATAAATCATAACGGAATATAAACAAACAAAATGGGGGTCTACAGCAGAGAACGGAGAGTTGGCTATCGGCAATCAAACTTATTTAAATTTTTAAATTAATTTTTTAGGACTTTTTCTTCTTAAATATTAAATTGTTGTATTTAAATTTATTTAATACTGTAGAATATTGATGAATATTTTTGTTGTTGACCCTGTAGAGCACTCCTCTAACCCTTCCCTCATCTAAATATCAATAAGATACTAGATCTAAACCCATACTCAGCTCATGGGGGGGGGGGGCATTCATTGTACAAGATATATAAGAATATACACTGGAATTCAGTAAATAGTTTTTGTAGATTTCGAAGTGATGTTTAAAACAGTTCGAAAGACTAGATTTTAAGGATAATATGTTGCAAAATTTAACCAATTTTCTAAAACCATATTGTTTAAAAAGAAAAAGGTGGCAAGCCATTCAAAAAGAACTTCAAAGGGATTAAGCCTTTGCCACAAAATAAAATTTTCTAATTTTGCATCCTTATGATGAAAACCTTTGATATTTCAAACTTTGATGATTGAATCTAACAGAATTCATAGTTTGAAATATCATAGGTATCACAACATTAGGTTGCAAAGATATAGGGATTAGAAAATTAGAGTTTGTTACAAAGACTTAATTGCTTTGTTGTAGTTCGAGTAGATGAAAAGATATACAAGGTTGTATATTGATAGATTATTATAAAGAAGGCGTGTCAATAATTTCTATTTTCTTGTTGTCAGCTGTAAATGGGGTCTACACATAGTTTTCACACTTTGATATACTCCAGGTACATATAGTTTTCACACTTTGGAGAGTAAACAAGATTGGTTCTGTTCTACATAATATACTCCAGGTAAATATAGTTTTCACACTATAGAGAGTAAACAAGATTGGTTCTGTTCTACATAATATACTCCAGGTACATATAGTTTTCACACTTTGGAGAGTAAACAAGATTGGTTCCGTTCTACATGATATACTCCAGGTACATATAGTTTTCACACTATAGAGAGTAAACAAGATTGGTTCCGATCAACATAATATACTCCAGGTACATATAGCTTTCACACTATTGAAAGTAAACAAGATTGGTTCCGTTCTACATAATACACTCCAGGTAAATATAGCTTTCACACTATGGAGAGTAAACAAGATTGGTTCCGTTCAACATAATATACTCCAAGTACATATAGTTTTAACATTATGTAGAGTAAACAAGATTGGTTCCGTTCTACATAATATACTACAGGTACATATAGCTTTCACACTATGGAGAGTAAACAAGATTGGTTCCGTTCAACATAATATACTCCAGGTACATATAGTTTTCACACTTTGGAGAGTAAACAGGATTGGTTCCGTTCAACATAATATACTCCAGGTACATATAGTTTTAACACTATGGAGAGTAAACAAGATTGGTTCCGTTCAACATAATGTGCTATAGAAGTCAAGGTATAGTTTTTTACTAAAAGAGAAAAATGGGGTTGGTTCCGTTCAACATGATGTACCCTAGGAGTCTAGGTTTAGATTATTACTTGGAGAGTAAACAAGATTGGTTCCGTTCTACATAATGTGCTATAGAAGTCTAGGTATAGTTTTTTACTAAAAGAGAAAAATGGGGTTGGTTCCGTTCAACATGATGTACCCTAGGAGTCTAGGTTTAGTTTATTACTAGAAGAGTAAAATGGAGTTGGTTCCATTCTAAATAATATACTCCAGTTATAGTTTCATACTAGAAGAGTAAATGGAGTTGGTTCCATTCTAAATAATATACTCCAGTTATAGTTTCATACTAGAAGAGTAAATGGGGTTGGTTCCATTCTAAATAATATACTCTAGGAATAGTTTACTACTAGGAGAGTAAATGGGGTTGGTTCCGTTCTAAATAATATACTCTAGGAATAGTTTACTACTAGGAGAGTAAATGGAGTTGGTTCCATTCTAAATAATATACTCTAGGAATAGTTTACT